CCCTGGCCCCATGGGGCACAAACACCCCCACATCCTTGAACCCTTATTCAACCCGATGGTCCAAGTACCTCCTGACCCCCCTACCCCACATCCCAACCCAACCCCAAAGGAGATACAGCCCCATCCAGCCCCCAAGTCTCAGCATCTCCCCACTCCCAGAGAACACAGCCTTGTCTGTGCCACCCACTCCAGCTTGATGGCCCTGGCAGCCCCTCAGCCCCCACCCCACAACCAGGGGACACAGAATGCCCTACCACCATGTCCCTGGACCCACATACAGGCCCATGAGCCTGGCACCCCTTCCCCACACCCATGGGACATAGAGACCCCCAAACACTGCCCAGACCGGGGCCTCCAGCCAGCCTCCAAGCCCCAGCAACCCCTACTCTATATCTCACATCCTAGGGGCACAGCCCCATGGCCCTGGCAACCCTGAACTCAAACCTGCACCCCCTGACTTCCCATCCCACACCTTGGGGCACAGAACCCCCACCCCTAGCCCATTCCCTGGACCCCCCATCCAGCCCCATTACCCTGGCACCCTCTCCCCACACCCAGGGGGCACAGCCCCATAGCTCTGGTACCCCTGAACCCACACCTGCACTCCCTAGCTTCCCATCCCCACACTCAGGGGGCACAGCATCCCCCATGCCCCCTGGACTCACATCCATCCCTCCAGCCCTGGAACCCCCTTCCATTATTCAGGGGACATAGCCCCACTGCTCAGGTACTCCTTAACCCCACACCCCATCTCTTTCTGCTCGAAGGAGCACAGCCCCCCCAGCCCCTGCCCACTCTCCCGGCCCTGGAGCCCACCGGGCAGGGTGCCGTTGTTAGCAATGAAGGCTGCCATGTCCACAGGGTGCTGGTCAATGTGGAGGTGTCGCATGCACCCCACGAAGTGCCGGCTGCGGATCGGGAAACTCTCGGGCAGCGTTGGGACCCCCCCCAGCAGCAGTGGCCCCGTCAGGTCCAGTGACCTGAAGAGCCCACCATCACCTTGGGGACTCAAGAGACCCTCGAGGGATCCCACAACCCATGGGGACCCCAAGGGAGCCCCAAGGGACACCCAGCCACCCCCCATCCCATGAGAGTCACAAGGGAACCCCAAACAACATCCACTCACCACAAAACCTCTGGGGACCTGAGGGACTACCCAAAGGGTGTTCTCACATGGGGAACTCAACGGACTCCCAAAGGACTCCCCACCCCCACGGCGCATGGGGACCCCAAGAGAACACCCCCAACCCATGGGGACCTCCAGTGAACCCCCAAACACAGGGATCCACGACCCCCAAGGGACTTCTCACCAGTGAGGATTCCAAAGGTATCTCACCCATAGGGACCATTCACCTCCAAGGGACCCCTCTATGGGTACCCCAAGGGACGCCCACCCATGGGATCCCCAGGCCCTCCTCACTTCTTGCTGCCAGTCTGGGTGCCCTGGGCAGCGCAGGAGTAGTTGCCAAGGTGGAGCCCGAAGCGCAGGGCCATGGCTGTGTCACAGTCGTCCACAGTCACCACAGCCACCTTCTGCTCTGAGGGGCCCTGCAGGACCCCAGAGCGCCCCACAACCGGCTGGGGGGCCCCACATCAGGCGGGGGGCCCAGGACCTCCATTCTGCAGCCTTTGTCCCACTCCTCATCCTCCCCCTGCCCTCTGGCCCCTCAACTCTCACCAGGCTCCAGTGTCCCTCCAGCCCACTAGCCCCCCACCCTTTACACCCTCCAACATTCCCCTCCATTCCTTCAGCCCCCCTTAAACCCCTCAGTGGTCCACTTCATCCCCCCTAAGCCCCCATCCTTTTGACTTCCTTTTCCTCCATCCCCCCATTCCAATTGGGGGGTCCTTGGGGGTCCCCACAGGTGAGGAAGGGAGGTGGGGTTCCTTGCGGGGCCAATGGGTGAGGAAGTGGGTGAGGGTCCCTTGGGGTCCTCATGGACAGGGACAGCTCTTGAGGATCCCTTGGGGTCCCTCAAATCTCCTCTCTCCTCATCCATCCAACACCCACTTCGCCTCCACTCCTTCCTCCTCCTCCATCTCCCATCTCCCATCCCTTGGGACCCCCATGGGTGGGCACATCCCTTAGAGGTCCTTTAGGTGCCCCAAACCCCCTACCTGATCCCCTCCATCTCTCTATTTCCCCACCCTTCACATCCATCTTCCCTTCCTCTGTCTGCCCCAAACACTCCCCACACACTGTGCCCCCCCCATGCCCCTCTTTCCCCCACCTTGTTGTAGTAGTGCAGCTGCACCCGGTGCCACTGCCCATCGCTGACACCTCCTGGCACGAAGGGTGACACTGTGGTGGTGGTCTCACCTGTAGGCACAGCATCAGGGAGTCGGGGCAGTGCCAGGGATGGGATGCCCAGGACGCAGTGCCAGCGATGCAGTGTTGGGGGATGCAAGGGATGCAGTGCTAGCAATGGGATGTCCAGGATGCAGTGACAGGGATGCAGTGTCAGGGATGGGATACCAAGAATGCAGTGTCAGGCAGCGCCAAGAATGGCAGGCCAGGGATGCAGTGAGGAATTCAATGAGGAATGCAATGGGAGATGAAATGCTGGGAATACGATGCCCAGGATGCAGTGCCAAGTAGTGCCAGGATGGGATCTCTGGGATCAAATGAGGGATGCAGTGAAGGATACAGTGCCCACACTGGTGCAAGGGTGTGGTGCCAGGGCAGTGCATACCTGCTGAGAAGGTGAGCTGCAGCTGCTCATCCACAATCTCCAGTGCTACAAAGTCATGCCGCTCGTTGAAGCGTCCGTTATACAGCAGGAGCCCGTCCCGCTCCTGTGTGGCAAACCTGGGGGACACAAGTGCCAGGGGTACCCAAATACCCCCCCAGTCCCACTGTGCCTCCCTGGCACTCTCCAGCGCTGGCAGAGCCCACGAAAGGTGAAGAAGGAGCACAGGGGAAAGCTGCGGGTGCTCGTGACCCCCTGACCCTGACGTGCCCCTGAGGCACACCCCTCACTCCCTGCCCCCCGACCTTGTACCCACTGTGAGAAGCTGATATCCATCAGCCCCTGCCCCCACAAGGTGCCCCCCACCTCGCTGCCCCCCATGCCAAGGGGTCATCCACACCCTTTGCTCCCACCCTGTGCCCTCAGGGTACCTATCACCCCACACCCAATCACCCCACAGCCCATATGATGCCAATGGGGCACCAATAATTATCCATCCCAGATGATGCCAATGGGACATTCCCACTCCATCTGATGCCCTTGAGACATCCACCACTCCACACCCCAAATGATGCCAATGAGGGCACCCACCCAC